ACACATAACATTGTCAAATTCATTAATATATGCCTTATTTTGGCCTTTGTAAAATATTATAATTATGGACTTATAACTGTAGAGCCTGGTGAAGAAGTTATTGAAAACAATTGTTCGCTCAAATATTCTTTATTTTTGAAAGATTAATAGTTAAATTAGTGTTGATATTAGATAGTCGTCTGCTAAAAGATTTATACGTGGTCTATATATTAGAGATAGGACTTGTCTGTAATACAGTTACAAGAATATTCCCCCCAAGTGCACATCAATTAACGAGTGGAATAAAGTCAAAGTAGCTTCTTTTGTATTTAGTGATTAATTGAAAATTGAACAAAATATTGAAGACATTTAGATATAAGATTTAGATTCTATCTTTTGTCAATTGTTTTTTTGGCTATTTTTCAACATGAATTGTTAAACTGGAGAAAAAAACTTAGTCTTGAAGTAAACAAGTAATTTTTTATTCAGTAAAACAGTTTAAGAGATATTTCATTAATTCTAAAACCTAATTGTGACAGTGAAATATTTCGCAAAGAATAACTCGCAGTTCTTCTGAACAGCTTCAATCTGAGGATGAGTACTCACTGATGGTATGAATCAGTTTTGGTGCACCATAAGATGAAATGAATTAAGTTGAAATGTTCATATGGAAACATGTTTACCATGTAGCGGGAATATTCTTATAGGGAGGGAGGCACATTGTTGGAGATGATAAAAGCTTAATAATTAATAATATTTTTTATTTAAACTCTTGAAATCACTCAAATATGCTAAAAAAGTTGGTTCTTTGTAATGAAGAGAATGCCATTTTCTAGAAATGTTGTCAACAGAATACATGATTTAGAAATTTTAATGAAAATAAATGTATTTTATGAACACTTGTCTAAATAATTTGACCTTTATTTTATTTTTACAAGGGGGAGATAATAATCTGTAACACAGTTTTGTTGTTTTCAGACTCTTCTTCAACTACATACAAGTTAAGCTTTTATTATCAGTTGTTAGTTAGTCTGCGTCTGTTTGTCTGCCACTTTATTTCATTTATTGTGTTATCCCATCTACACACATATTCATTCATCTGTATACATCCAAGCATTATTATACAGTATAAATAAAGATACATACATGCAGTTATAGAGACTAGTTTTGTGTATAGCTTTAGTAAATCAATGGTTTAAAGGCTCAATGTCTTGAATGAAAGCGAAGTTGTTTAAGTCCGGGTTTCTGAAATTATTATGTACATGCGTATTTACAAATATAACTCAGCGTGTGTGTGTGTGATACAGAAAGGGGGTTTAAAATAATTGTAAATTTTAATGAATTCTTCATTTAACGATAATATGGGAAAACGATGATTATTCAAATCCACTGGTCCTATGGTTGTACAAAGTGTATATTACAAAAAAAACTATGGTCTATTTAGTTATAAGAAATCGTAGACTATTATATTTTCATCACGAATTGTTTATTTTGAACAAGTTGAATAAATAATACTTTTGGTAAGAAAACTGTTTTTATTCATCCAATTATGGGCATATAGACTCAGGTTTGTCTATCATAAATTTATTCATTCAATCAACATGACGTATGAAAGAAGGGGAAATTGAAGATTTCAATGAACATTATCCAACGTCTACCTTTTTTTTAAAAAAAGATTAAGATATAGGAATGGATATATGACAATGACTATTGGTAAATAGTACTGGTAATCATTTTTATTTCAATTTGTTCACTTACCAGTGTCTTTTGTTTTATATTGTGAATACGGTTGCAAAAAGCTGATAAGAGAAAGCATGAGATAAAATGAATACATATTACTTTACAACAACTGTTGTTATTGCTCTGGTTTTAATACTTACTGAATTTCAATTTTGCCCTGATAATATGAGTGAGACATACCCGTCAGTACGCATTCCAGCTTATTCAACTGTTCAGTCGACTATATATATATGTTCGTTCCAAACTATCAGATTAAGTGTAGAAAAAAAAACAAAACAATATATAACATTAATTACGTTATCTATATTAGTACTTCATAACAAAATAGTATTTGTACAAGAATGGTCATTGGTGTTTAAAGTAAATATCGATTTTTCTTAATTCCGGAAATGACTAATTTTGTGTATATTCGAAGTAGACACTAATGATATTGTTCATTAGAATAAGACGAACGCTTCACAATTAAACAATCTAGCACAGAGAATGCAAAGCTGTTACAATCATAAAATCAAAAGAATTCATTAGTCTTCACAATTTGTTCTAATATTTATTATTATTTATTTCGAGTAAAAAAATTCACTCAACATATCCTATCAATTTTTAGGAGATGGGGTCACTTTTCCGGAAGTAAATAATTTTCATTAGAAATCTCCTGTTTATTCCTCTATTTAGTCAATTATATATCATCAAGGGTAAACAAGGATAGTTCATTCCTTTTTTTGTCGCTCACTTTGTCTACGCTTCTCTTTATTAAACTGTCTATACTCTATTTTCTCATATACTTTTCTTATATATTAATAGCTAGTATAAATTTTTGCTTAGTTGCAAAACTTTTACACGAAGCACCCTTTGTTCATTTCGTTTCTGTACATAAAAATTAATTATTTATGCCTACAAATATTCTACAAATGTGCGTGTGTGTGTGTGTGTCTATGACATTCTCTTGTGCATGAGTATGTACGTATATTATTGCATGTCTGTTTAGTAATCTTGTAAGAAATATATGCCAAAATCTTTGAGAAATTGAGAAATACATTAAAAAAATTTACTTGACAATTACAGTGAATAAGTTGTCCTATGCTTCGTGTTTTTGATGGAGTTTTGTTCTCTGAGCTGAATGGATCCAAACCATCCAACTCAGAGAACAAAACTTCATCAAAATCATCCACCTGAGCTACAAATCTTCTCCACCATCCCAAAATGATTCGTGTTACTTGGCTTTTTTGTATTTATCATCATAAGTAAAGTGCTCAGTCCTTGTTAGAAATATGTTTTTTCATCTCTCCTTATATATACGTATATATAAGTAATAGGCTTATAATCAAACTAATTCATCAGTAAAAATATGTATCAATGGTTGTTAGTTTCACCTAATAACAAAATTTCCGAGAGGTGCAACCTACACATTCATAATTCTTACTGTTCTGGTGACGTGAAGTTCGAAGAATGATATTATTCGACAATAATTTGAGTGTAAACTGGTTAAATGTATTGTTTACTAATCAATAGCCATTAAAACACAGAATTTCAGTTTGTTGTGGTTGAAATCACCTTCAATTTAAATGTTAATAAGAATACTTATCGTCCATTCAGTAGTGACTGGTGAAACCATATCTAGTTGGAATTAACCCAGGATCTCACAAATGATATTAAATAAAGTCATTATGTAGGGTCTACTGAATATGTAGTGCAAAAATTCCACTTCTGACTTGTGTTACATACTACTTATATCTCCAAACATAAGTAACATGTATTACAAATATAGTCGGGAATTCAGTTTTACTGAATTGCTGTTCAGTAGGTGTCATGTGTATGCCTCGATATTTGAAGCTTATTGACTGGAGTCTGTGTGAAGTGATTAGTTAGTAGCTTCCTGCTGACTACCTCCAACCACCATCTTATCTCAACATAGTGTACGCAATGTCGAGTCATGTAGATTAGTGGCCATATTGTAACTTGGTAGATAGGATTCGATGTGTACTAATAAGGACCTGACGCACATGACATTGATCATCACCCAGTGATCAATCAGTTGAAGTGATTATTGTACACATATATACTACTGAGTAGTAGAATTATAAATATCTATTCAGGGTTCTTCGTTGTTTTTGATAACTTCTTCCATTTGGTGGTGTGATAATGGAAACTTTAAGGCATTTTTAGTTCATCATAAAAGCAGTGCAGTATTGAAAATTGATTTGAACAGGATGTTATTTTATCGATTGTTTTTATGGTTAAACTAATTACATTGTCAGGAGCTGGTATATGCTATTAATAATTTATTATCATTGTAAGAAGTGTTTTACAAGTTGAAATATATTGTGATTTTGTAATGATATGACTAGTCAACAGTCACTTCAAATATGAGAACACTTTCCAACATTATTTAGGCAAACGATAGGTGAATAGTTTTTCTTTTATCCTTCTATTACACTGTCTACGTCTTTTTGGATTTGTTTATTTTCTCAACTTCTTAATATCTTTAGTCATATAGATTTAAAATCTTTAAAATATGATTAAGCTAGTGCTTATTTGTATTGGATTTTTTATTGAAACACGCAAATAATGTGTCAGCTCTTGTTGAAAAATTAACTTCAAGTTTATATTTTATTGAAATCATAGTTATAGTAATAGTCAGTCATTGAAGTTCTGTTATAAGTATGAGGAGAGTTATCATTCCCTCGTTGCCCACACTATGAAATAATACTTTTTGTGGTGTTTCAAAAGGAAACTGGGTTAGGAGTGAACTTGATAATTTGGGGTTGGGACTACAATGCCCGAGCGAAAGCTTCTTGAAGTCGATCACTTAGTTTTACTTTGAGTAGTCACAGATGAAGTAGCTTCTCAGACTCTTGCTTCAGTTCGAGGAGAAAGATAGGAAGAGCTATGGTACTTTTAGGCCCAACCTTTTTCTAACCATCTCTGTTCGTTGTGTGAAGTCATCATTTCCGAAGATGCTGGTTTTCGAGGGGAAACACCTTATTATTGTTAAATCCATGTACAATTGGTATTAAAACAGCTTTCTCAGATCATAAGTTTACTGCTTTTGGTCTTTCCATTCTCCAACTAACTTATTTGACATGACGTGATCTAAAAGAATGATTGTTCCAACTAGTATAACTCAGTTGAGCCAACACGATATACAATCTCGACCACCACATCAAGGTAACAGCTGCAGTCGGGAATCATAGTGAGAAATTTGGGGTGTATTTAAGCAATGTGAATTTATGAATTATATGTAATCATTTATACTTTTAATCTTATTGTGATTTTTTTTTTAGCATTTACATGAATTCGTCGCATATCCAGAATTATTAACACTATCCATAGATCAATTGAGTACGTGTATTTTAAAAGGTTTATCTATGGTTCACTCATTGATTCAATGTACTCTGTCAGTGCCAAAAGAATTGTACATGTTTCAAAAGGATCAGTTAACACTACATGGAACCGTGCATAACACTAAAGACGACGATAATGATAATGGTAATAAGATTCCAAAATCCGATGAAAATAATGGTAAGTTTGTTTTTACGTGCATGTGTGATTATTACGTTTATTTTCAGTTTGATATCATTTAGTGCGTCATATAATGATCGATGAGTATGGTTTTATCGCTTCTCTTTCATCTATGGTTATATATTCTGCTAAGTCTAATTCGATTAGTATTCTCTCGGTTGTTAAAGAATATTAAGTAATAATAATAATATTATAGTAATGATATTAATAATATCAGCTCCGTTCACTAATGTAAACCTAGTCACAGTAAGTAATTCTCTGCATCCATTGTACAGTATTGAATCAATTTCCTATTTAATATACATCTAAATTGGAATTATTCAGAAATTATATTCCATACATGTCTTTTCAAAAGTCAATATCTTCGACACATCCTCAGTTGCGAGAGTATACTATTAATTCAGATGCTACAGGAGAGACCATAATTTATGGACTAGCCAATCAGATTTAAGACGTGTCTCGGATTTTGGCGAGAAATTCATTCAGCCATTCGTCTAAATAGCGTTTTGGCATTTTAGCTTATGTCAGTTCGTGATGAAAACCATAGATCTAATTCCTAATCCTAACCATAAATTGTAAATCATAATTCTTATTCTTCACACTGCTTTATAACGCTCGTTTAGCTCTAGTAATTAGGTGAACATTCTCAAGGTCACTTTAGTGTTGCTCAATTGTCGTCCATCAGTTATAGTCTCACCCTATTTCCATCTCATCCGTTAGATATTGAATGTTTGATTTCCAGTATATTGGTCTCTCATTTTCTTTTTCAAGTGGTAGACGAGTAGGAGAATACAATATAATACAAGTTTAGTGTTTCTGTTTGAAATTTCTGGTATTTAATATCACGATATGTTATGAGCCATTCGTAATACTGTGTGAGTATAAACAGTTAAAACTTATAATTATTCAATTCAAACAAATCTGAAACAGAATAAATTATTGTAATATTTCCATAGTTGAAACATGAGTAGTTTAAACATAAGAGTAGTTCACTGTGATCCTTTGTAATACAATTGAATGATTTTCTTGGTTTTTGTACTGCTATTCATTTTTCTTGAAAGTATAATGTGAAAGCTTTAACATTAAACTATTCAGCTGTGAAAATGCAACAAGATCAGATTAGTCAACATTTTGTAAAATTAATCAAATAGATTCGGAGTAATTTTCAACCCAACTATATAATAAATAGTTTAAACATTTCTGTGTAATAAAATAAATAGGATATTGTGAATCTCATCTATACAGTAAAAATTATTAGACAGCAAATGTATGCTTCTTATAATGTACTTAATTTTATCACAGATATTTTGAATTAGTGAATTTGTCATAATTGAAATAGTAACAAGATTCACTGGGGTAAGATGAGAAGGCATGAATATGTGATATAGGACTTCATGAATTTCATTGTAAATCTGCTAGCCAGACGACATATGGGCAATAAAAATGTTTCAGTACATTTGTTGAATTAGTGTATGTTTGTGTGTGCACAATCATCAGTGGAAGGATTCTTTTTGTGAACATCAACCATTTGTAAATAATATATTTCTTAAATCAATGTGTATGAATAATAAATGAAAAATGATTAATTGAGATCATGAATCGATCAATGCTAGACCACCACTGAAAACCTGGAAGGGCTGGACGACTTTTTTGCCCTAGTATGGGACTTCTTAGCAGTGCACACCCACGGTGCTGAACGCGGACTTTAGTTCAGGATCTAAGATTACGTTCGGATGCTTAATCTCTAGACCACTAAGTCGGCATTCAACTGTGTTAATGTCTAAATTCAACCAATTCACGATATTGCTCAAGCATCTTCCATTGTTTTCCATGGGTAACTGCCTCAAACCCAACATGGTTGAACTCCACTGGTCACGGCTTCTCACTAGAATTCCGAGAATTGCCTCTCGAAGCTAGTCGCTAATATACACATGGTAATAATCAGTATAGGGTTGTAGATATAATTAAGTTTTTTATTAACTGAAATCATGAACCGATCATGATCTCAATTAAAAAAAACTCAATCTCTAGAACTCTATACTGATACGAACGATTAAGTGGATAAGGATTGTACAGTTTTAACGTTTAATTTTGCTACTTTAGTTATCATTTCACTATTATCATTTTGAACTATTTGTGTACTTCCTCCTCAATTTGTTGCATATATGTGTATGTTTGTATTTGTTCGGCAATAGAATCATATTAGTGTGTGAAAAAATTTATTAAATTGTAATTCTTTTGACCTAGTTCTAAATCTCCCTCTTTCACGTCATTCGAGAAACCTAATAAATATGAATAAATGCTATTAATAAGAATTTATCTTATCATTTATAGCTTTGGGCTAAATTTGCTTAACAGTCGGTGTATAATTTCAATTTTGTCAAATTCATTCGTTTACTTTAGTCTAAATATTTATTTGCTCTTTCTCTCTCTGTTATTTGTTTTGAAATAAATGAAGGTGGCTGAAATATAAAACTGAATACTTTTTAATTATTCCCAGGTTCATTAAATTCACGAATTTGTAAGATTTATGTTGATTTTGTCGTCTTTTCATAAATATGACACTAAAATACATTACTAGGGTAACTATTTCTTAACTCCAAGGAATATCTAACTTCTCTTATTGCCCAACCGGATTATTCAATAAATATTATTTTTATAGACTAAATCACGAACTGATCTTAGTTAGACCACCATTGAGTGTACTTGTAATCTCTAATACACTGCTATCCTCAAAGATGCATGAATTTCTATCTACAACATTCTTTTTTGATTGTATTGACGTAATTTGGTGTCCACCTTGAAAAGTTGATCGATAAGACTCAGTTCTGATAATGTGATAATAACCTATCAATTACTGTCAAGTAATTATCTAAAGTTGTAACACAACAACTTGGTACATTTTTACAGTTGGTTCTGTTGAATTAATAACTATACAAGAAAGGTGATAAATAGGCCCAAGATTCTGTGTAAAGCTAATCTTAATTTATTCTTTCTGGTTAAAGAATATTTACCTCAAACTTGAAAATAACAAGCATGTTTGATAAAAAATTAGACGCATCAATAATTAATTGTTGGAAAAAATCAAATGATAAGTTAGGGGAACACTCAATATAAGTTCACTATTCAGCTAGTATTTTTACATCAGTAATAGATTTGTGATGGTAACAGTTTCTGAACAAACTGAGCACACATCTAGCTACACTATACGTCGTCATAGATAGCGAAATGTATAATACTGTTGTGTTAAATTTCCCAATGAGTACATGGATTTTTTATGTACAGCAATGCTTAAGATATCCAATTCATAAAGATTAAGTAAAAATTATGAATTTCGTTTGTTAGCTGTTGAAGTTATATTTTCCTGAATGCAATCAGTCAGTCAGTCAGCCAGTAACAACGTAGAACTTCGTACGTACGTACATCAGTTCGAGTTGCCACACCACATTAGCACAGAGATGCAGTTGTCGATTCAAATCCCGTAGTGGTGGAGGTAGCAAGAGTATAAGCAGTAATCGGGAAGATTAGGGTTTGGAGGTGTTATTTAAAGAGTATAATTCAGTGAAATAAATTTGGAAAGAGGAAAAAAGGGACATGAAAAATTCAGAAGATTAGAATTTGAGAGAACACAAAGAGTGGATGCACCTGCGCCATTGCAAACGATTTTGAGCCATGTCATTCAGGGTCTCTAACCATCGGTTGCCATCATCTCGTGGTCCCCAACCAGGTAGTCTACACCTACCAACATGACTCAGTCCACTTGTCAGTGACTTCACGGACTTATGCCATGTTTTGGTTTGGCCGCCTCTAGCTTTCTTCCAACCTACTCCTATACCACTGAACATAGCACGTTGAGGTATTCGGTGGTTGGGCATACGTAACACGTGTCCCGGCCATCTCAACTGGTGAAATTTCACTACTTCATCAATTGATTTCCTGAATGCGATTCCCTTAAGCATATATATATATATATATATATATATATATATATATATATATATATATATATATAACACTTTTTAAAGTATAATCTATTTTCCGCTTTTTCCATAACTCTAGAATCTACATCACCACAAGAGAATCGTTTTATAATTGTCAATCGTGGTATTTACAATCGACTGAATGCACTAATTCAAATACAGAATACAGAGAAAATGATAATAATGCCAAAACGTATTCAATGGTCATTAGGTTTGATTAATAAACGTAAAAATTCTTCGTTAAATCAGAAATTTATCGATTGTAATAATTTGATAAACTCATCATCATCACAACTAACTAATAAAACTAATCGTTCTATATCCTCTCTTGATAAAGAGTTATTGGCTAATAGTGATGATAAACATAACGATGAGAATATTATTCATAATTCTAATCAAAGCAGAGCTGATAATCATGACGAAGTCATTAACAATAATTTCTGTAATGGTTATCTAAGAGATTGGGTTGGATTGTCAATTTCTGATCATGACGACGATTGTGATCACAATTATCAACATCATAGTCATGTGAACTGTTCAACAATGAATAAAACATTGAATAACACATCGTCATCCTCATTGGCATCTTCTGTTAATAGTAATGATAATTGCAGTATTAGAGACTATTCATCTGTTACAGAACGTTCATCATGTATGGTAAAACCAAAGGATCATTCATTCACGATTGATAATAATAATAGTATAATGAATAGTATTCGAATTGCCTTTGTTCGTCGTGAGTCATCTGAATGCGGTGATGCAATAGCTCCATGTTTTCTTCAAAATAAACATTCACGTGAGTAATAAAAATAATGTAGAAAGATTTTTTACTTGAAGAGAGACCAAGAATAGAAATTTAAGCAGAATGAAACGAATTTACTTTATTTAGCAAGATCTTCGTCAGTTGCTTACAGGCTGTAATATTTGATTGATTTTCAAATAATACGATTTCCGTGAACAGCCGAAGAGAATTCAATGAAATAAAATGAATCCATGCTATTCTGTTTGGATTTTTATTCTTCCTTTCTTCCAGATAATAAAGGGAACTTTGTGTACAAATTTCCGACTCATTAGTATAGTAGTCTCTTTATGGATATTTTTAACTACTGGAAATAGTAATAGTAGTGTATAATTCTGTAATGAAATTGTTTGGTGCGAAATTGAATTAGACTTGAAATAGACATTTTTCTCATGATTTGTTTGTTAATAATATAATAATGATGCGTTGCATCGAAAGCTCACTTATTTGGTGAAGTGAAGTAACTACTTAGTCTGATGTATCGACTAGGAATAATAAAACAATTTTACAGCTGGATATATTTTTGTCATCTGAAGATTTATCACAGATATGTAAAAGAATATTTAACATCATGTTTGTGTAAATGATACATAACATAGAACCTGTTAGACATCTTCGTAAGTTTAAGTTAGCACATTATATCAGCATAGCGATGTAAAATTATCCCTGAGTGGTAAGAAGTAGTAACAGTATCAATAGTAATTGGAAAGATTAGGCATGGGCGGAGTGGTTCGAGAAGGAACAGTGAATCTGCGTCGTAAAATGTATGAAATAATTTTAAAACTGAAAATATGGGAGAAGACAAGGAGTAAATGCATTAACACCATTAAGACCAATTCTGAACCATGTCCTCCAACGTTTCCAACCATTGTTTACAGTGATTGCACTGGGCTCAATCACGTAGTCTTCATCTACTAACATAGCTCAGTTCAACTGTCAGTGACTTTATGAACTGATGCCGTGTCCGAAATTTAAAAGAGATAAAGTGAACTATACAGGCAAGTATTTGATTAAATGAACGGTAGTCTGAAATTTCGACTGTTATATTCATTGGCAAGCAGAATAATGTAAAACCATGAACATGTTAGTTTAAGTTGCCAGGTATAATAACAAAGAGGGGTAGTAAAGATGAAGATGACTCGATGTGTGAAATACATAACTTTCGATGTCAGTTTATTATGAGCAGTAACTAGGTTTTGAACAAAATCACTTTTTTTGAAAGAAAATTGTTTATTTTGATGAAATCAATTCTATTTCATTTTAAACACTTTTTTCCTTTCAAATTAACCGATTTCCTTTATAGCTGCTAAACTCCGTAGATCACGACTTCGTGGAACGGACAGCTTAGTTATTAAATTCAAAAGACACACTCTTTCAAGAAATTATTATCCTAGTGAATTAGTTCCTAATTCTGTTGTGCAATATAATGAACAATTAAACTGTGATAAATCTTCCAATCCTAATACTATTTTTATGACTACCAATACTACTTCTACCATTACGACTATTAACACGAGTAATAGTAATGATAGTAGTGGCAATAATAGTCACAATAACAGTACTGAAAAACGTATGCGCTGTGATCAAAATAAAATTTTATGTATTTTAACTTCACCTCTTAACTATTCGTCAAATTATTATCCAAGGAATACATGTTATGATGGTTATCAGAATCATCCTCATCATTATCATAATAATAATCGTCTATTATCTCCAACTACACTGACCACATCATCTATTGCGTCTCGAGTGAAATGGGGAGCAAATTTAACATTGTTATCCAATTCTCTTACAAATGATCATGATACCAATGACAATATACAAACAAATTATCCTATAAATCATCAATATGATTCCGAATCGAATACAAAACAATTCAAACAATTTACTAATGAATTTAATACACACGAAAATTTTTTATCGCCATCATTGTCATCATCTTCATCGTCAACAGTAATGCTTAGAACTTGTCAGCATGATTTAGATAAGATAATTCTACATCCTAGACCTAGAATACCACCGAAACGTTTGGATTTAGCTAATCAAGATTTGGAATTAGCCTTGAAAAGGGTAAGATCTACTATTTTATTTTATGTCTTCCCTATTTTGAATAAGAAAATTATTATGTAATCGTTTTCTATTCCGGTATTATTTGATGTTTATTGTTTAAATTAGCCGTGATAGATGAAATACAGTTTCTTCTTAAGGAGATGGAGAACGGTAAAGAAATTTCAAACTTCAGTTGAGTGCTTTTAGACGGGTGGTTTGATCAGCTTACGATTGTTAGTAGTAGTTAGAGTTAGTTGGAAACTGAGTGTATACTATATGGAACACCAGAAAGTTCTATTTTATTACTTTTTAATTATACTAGCACTCTCTAGTTTATCCATAGTTAGGTATGAAAACTTTGGGTTCCGTAGCAAACATCCCATGGAAAATTGTTTGTGAAAGATTTTGGCTATATGTTGTCAATATTATGGGTGTGGTTGGTTAGTGTTATGACTGTTATAACACTTATATGTGTCTGACCAGAAAAAAGTAGGTAGAATGAGGTTTAAATCTAAACTCAACTATTAAGCTACTTCTCAATCACGATGTAATACTGGTATAGAAGTTTATAGTGGAAAGTACCACACAAATAGATATATGTAGTCTATAACTAGAATGGAACAGATATTCGATACATTTTACTTCTCATTACTCTCTCGTTAAGGTTGCGATTATCATTAACGGTGATAGTGTATTATATAGGGATCCATGACATATTTCTCCGTATATTTAAACCTACGAAATAAATGTATCTTCGTTCCAATTTTTTGTGCTTTTTAATAATCAAACCAATCATCCGCATATTGAGATTTAAAGTTGTATGATATGAATATAGAGACAGTTTCGAAAAAAATCATCCGTCCTGTTTCAACATTTGAAGTGGTGAATTAATGCAAAGCTGTTGCTACGGAGCGGAATAACCAGAGATAATTCCAACGATAACTTCTGTACCCTGTTCAACAGCTCCTATCTTTACCAGTCCAAAATACTCCAAAAGACAAATCGTGTTAAGATTGATTGGAAGAGATTAAAGAAAAATAAATTCACATCCACGCTAATTTAATAATACATCAAGTAATTTCAGTGGTTTTTATTTACAGAATTTATCAAGTAACTAGTCATTACATTCATGTGAAATATGAGTCAATAAATACAACGACATCCTTTAGGACTCAGCAAACTAACTTCATACGCACTGAATCAACACAAATGAAAATACACTGCAAATAACGAACAGAATTCACCATAAATCAATACTTAACTTTTAATATTGGTTTCTCCTTGAGTGTTGTATTTGGGAATTTAGTATCCCCAACACCTAGATCCTACAATCTATCAACTCATATGATTCCTCACGGTTATAACATCGTTGCAATATTCATATTGGCAAACTTTACTGTTCAAAATCAACCAACATTTGTTATTGACGAGAACTCAACGATAAAGTACTTTCATTGGCGACTTTAGGTAATGTGTTGGGGAAATTTTGACCTAATGTAGAGAAAACTTTGATGTTTGTGCACATATTTAAAAAAAACCCACTTATCTAGTTATATATCGTTTAGTTCCTTACATACCCCATAAACCGATTGGACTTCCCATTTACTCAATTTTACGCAAATATGTTAATTATTAACTTCATTTCTGGTACATTATCTTGGTCACTTTTGTTTCTTTTCATCTAGTCGGGATAATCAGGTAAGGTGACTAAGGCCAACGGATATCTGTGTCAGGTTCTATGTTGATGACGTCAGTATATGGCTTCCTGTATGATTTCGATATTTCTCATTAGCTACTTTTGTATAATTGAGTAGTTTGATACTTTATTAAAATTAGTTGTTGCTGACGTAATTTCAAAGGAATTTAGTTGAAGTATTTTTTTACGCATTTTTAGAGTCTTAGTGATTGCACAATGCAGTCATCTAATAAGAATTATCACAATAGTTCAATCAAGAAATCTTTGGCTTATAAAGTGCGGTTAAATAACCAACATACTGGGAACAGGGATTCAACAAATAAGAATCTTGTGCGTCGAACGAAAGCAGTTCTACGCTCAAAAAGAAAACGTCACAAGACGTTTAGTAATTCACGTCGTCAGAAATCCAAGGCTGGTAATGTTGTAAGTGATTCCGTTTTGTTAGCCGAATTTTATAAGCTTCTTTAAATTCTTTCATTTTAAAATTATTTTCAGCAGACCATCCGAATCGTTCATAATTAGGAATTACAGTAAGGTACCTCAAAACTTAACGCTTGGATTGAAAGTATAACGTTTTTCTATAAGAACTATCAACATGCTGTTTAAAGATTATGTGTTTATTCGCAAAAATTTGGAATTTTGTCACTTTTGACAATAATTGAATATTTTATTCGTGTGCTTTTAGCACTCCTGAATGGTTTATATTTCATCTCTTTTCTATCTCTGCCTTTCTTCTTTGTAGAAAGGCCAAAGACATAAGTCTAGTGGAAATTCTCCTACTACTAATTCAACAGACAATAGTTTTGTTTCAAATCAATCACACATTGTTTCAGATGATTCTGTAATTAATGATTTGAATGAGGATGGTGATCGACTGGTGAATGACAACCTATCACGTCTTCCATTGCCAAAACTTACTTTAGCTAAAAATAGTGTTGGTGAATTTAATGTAGTTGAAAATCGTGAAGAGAACACTGGCAAGTTTCCTGAGATATATGATCGTAAAACTACTACTAATAACATAACAGTTACTAGTATGAGTAATGGTAATATCGATAATTCAGTTCTGAATAGCTGTCAGGCAATAATTAGTCCATCGTCATTATCATCATCATCAACATCATCTAAAGTTACAACATGTAAATCTTTAAAACGGAAATCTGATAACAAACAGAGAGTAAATTGTTTGAATAATGACAGAATAGTGAATAAAATTCCTCAGATCAATTCGGAAGTTTTACAGGACTCCAATGATGTAGGTGATATTATTACTGATGAATTAGAGCACAACTCTAGAACGGTTATTAGCTCGGTAGATAAGCTTGAACAAATAACAACAACTACTCCCACAGGATCTTTCAAAACTGATGAGGAATATTCTACATTTACAACAACTTATGAATATACACCTGTTATGAATTGTGTTGTATCGAATAAATCTACTGCAGATTCAACAAACCTATCGTCAGTGTCACCTCAGCAAGTAATACAGTGGGAAATTCCGAAATCCACTAGGTAATTTTTTATATTGATACATACATTTTTGTTTATGTGAAATATATGTCTAGATATATTTTCATGATGGGTTGTAATCCCTCAAGTGAATAGTTTAATTAGTAAACTTTTATTGTCATTCTGGATAGCGTTATATCCTACTTAAAATGAAAGATTCATGATTAAACCATTCAGTTTAGAGAACACAACATTGTCAAAAGCATCCAGTTTAGCTATAAGCTTTTTTTCATTTCAAAATCTCTTTAGATAGGACTCGTTTTATCGAGAATTAGTTGCATGTATTCCTATGAAACTGAAAGAAATTCATCTTGTCCTTAAATATATATTTGTATAATCATCATATGCTCACTAGTGACTGACTTTGAGATGGATTTCCTGGAGTTTTAGTGAGAACCAGTGGCCAGTGGAGTCCAATCCGTGTAGTGTAGAGAAAAGTATCTACCTCAGACAACGGATGAATGGTTGCGCAAGATGATATATGGACTGAAGTTAGACATTAACAACATTGGATGCCTGCCCAATGATCTAGAGATTAATCGTTCTCACACGAGATCGAAGATCCTAAGTTCGAATCCCACGTACGGGATCGTGGATGCGCACTGCTGAGAAATTCCACACTAGGACGGAATGGCCGCCGAGTGCTTTCAGGTTTTCAATGGTGGTTTAGCTTAGATCGACTCATGAATTCAACTATTAAAAATTACTGCAATCTCCACAATCCCCCATTTTGACAATAACTGAATTATGACATTAACTTTGAAGCTTTTTAATATTTGATTTATTGAGCAAAATAAAAGTGTCTATATCATTTTAGTCGCCAATCTCATCTCAGTATGTCGAAATCCTGTCACAAATGATAATAGATTTATATCATTCATTATTTATTTTAGTTAATGAAATTTCGGAAAAATAGAATTATTTGGATTAATGACCACAGTTCATGTTGAATTGATGAGATGGAGTCAAGTTTTGAAATCAGGGAGTAAATTATTAATTACAATGCAATAATCGATTAGTGTAAATATTTCAGTCCTATGTTAGGTTACTTACCTCATACTATGAATAACTTAACGGTTGCATCACTGATTGAAACTATGGATGGCTTTAATTTAAATTTATGAAATTTTTTTGTTCTTGTTTAAATTGTATAGGTTCAATAAACCTTAATTTTGTCTCGGTAATCTGTTTTTACGGTTTTATTTTATCACAATATTGTTACTAGATTTTACTTGGTATATTTTTTGGTTCTCTAATATACCGAAAACTATTTATTCTGGTTAAGAAATAAGACTTGAAAATTACAGGTATAATCCTGTGCAAGTGATATTATGGATAGGTTGATTGATTAAGACTTATATTAACAATATATTGTCATACTTAATAATTGTTGGATAATCTAGATATGAACTATACTATGACATGAACTATTTTATGCTCACATTAATTATAGTCACTAGATTATGGAGTCTTCCAGTGACTAGTTCACTTTATACTGGTTAGACCAATAATTTTCTCTAGTAGCATAATGATCATAAAAAAACAACAACTGGATATCCTAACACCTATCGGTCCATATAGATCCTTTTGCCCTTGGTGCTCAGTTAGAAGACGAAAACATAAAGTAGCTTTGTCTTCTATTTATGTATTGTCCAGCACTGACTTGAAAACTCACAGAATTACGTACAACAATTACATGGCTACAACGCAATATAAATAAGTGATTATATATATACGACAAATCACCGCAGAATAGTTCCGAAAGTCCCAAATATTAGTATTGATCTAACAGTATGCATACAAACTAATCTTTCAATTACTTCTTTTTAGCGATTGCTGATAGTTTACAAGGTGAGTAGTTATTTAGTTAGTTTGCTTATTCATCCACTGTTTTTTCTACTAAAAAAAATCTGTTTCGTTGTGTAGATAGATCTGGTAGAAGTTCTTATTTTACTAAGTTGTTTATTGCTTTTTTTTCATTTTCCTATTAATAGTTTGACTGATAATCCAATTGCATCAGGATTTGTACAGTCTGTAGTACATGTAAGTAAACCATGTTTCTTTTTAACCTGTTTATATAACAAAATAAATATGCTTTCCTTTAATATTCTTAATCTTTACATCATAGTTTTCATATTACCTTGCCTAATAGACAGATTTTTCAGCCCGGGATAATTTTTCATAGTTGAAGTTCGGTGGTCTTTGTTTTAAGGAATATCATTAGCTTATTAATAGTATGAATTATTTGAAATCAGATTAGTATATCGATAAACTTTGAGTGGTTTAAAATTAGAGTAACACACATTTAAAACTGTAGGGAATAAGTTTTCATTCTACCATTTTTCGAATAAAGCTGGGAATGTCAGGTGTCAAGACTAGATTCAGTTATTTTTTTAAAAAAATATCGGGCACTTAGTTTTAATTCATATGGGTTGGTTGTTTGGATCTTCCCATTGATATCTTAGAACTGCAATTGATCAGTCTTTTTTGGCATGTGCTTATAGCTATTTGATCGATTACTTTGTGTGAATAAACAAAATCTAACAGTTATCACCAATCGACTTGAGTGATCGTCATGCTACGTCGCAAATCGATTGAACTTAGAACCGTACCACTGGACGCCCGCCCAGTGGTTTTAGTGGTTAGGCGTTTACTGTGAAAACTAGAGGTAGCAGGTCTGATCCTTGGTGGGATCGCGAGTAACCACTAATATGGAGTACTATAATACGACGAAATAAATGTTCACTCCCCTTTGGTTTTCAATGACACCCCAAATGAGATTAACCTGTGACGAATACCACTTACCTTTAACAGTTATTTCACCAAAAACGCTGTATTTGACTCTAACTAAATCGATTAATATTGTTAACCTCTTCCGTTCATATAAATTTTCGCATAACATTTTCACTTTTGACGACTATTCGATGAATTTTATGTGGTTGCTTTTTTATACTCAGCCTTATTCATTCACTCCATTTCTCTTTTTCCGTCTCACTCCCATAGCATACATTGGTTAATCCTTCTTTTACCATAACAACAACACCAACCACACCTAATCAAATCTCCTGTGGTCATTCCATAAATTTCACTAACCAACATCAAAATATTTCACACTTATCTCCAAGTAAGTTTTAGTTATTTTTCCAGTTTCATAAGAAAAAATTAGCATACCTTTCTTTTCATCTGTAATACTTTACATTTTATATGACCATGCAAGAAATAATATTTTCAATATAAGGTTGTGGATATTGTTGAGTTTGAATCGATATCATGAATGCATCAATGTTAGACATTAACACTGTTGGACACCGGCTGGGTGGTCTAGAGGTTAAGCGTTCGCGTGCGTGACGGATGGTCCTGTGTTCGAGTCTTCTTGATGTGGGATCGCGGACGTGCACTGCTGAGGAGTCCCATACTGAGACAAAACGGTCATCGAGTGATCCCAGGTTTTCAATGGTGGTCTAACATTGATCCATTCATGATATCAATTAAAAATATTATTTTATTTGCTCTTAATTTTGATTGTGTCAAAAAAGTTCATGGATAAATGAAATTTTCAACGAAATTACAGAGTATCTCAATAAAATCTGAGAACCATATAGTAAATAGCTAATTTGCAAAATATCAATCCATCGTATCAAATTTGCAAATATCAGTCCATTTTCTCAGATTTCATTGTTCATGCATTTTCATACCAATTACGTTCCGTTTTCGTTCTTTCCTTATCGATCTTTTACTGAAATACATTCTACACCTAGCCACCCTTATATGGATATAAGTAACCCACACCACAATAGTAGTCACTAAGACAAAACCAAATAGTATTTCTACCCAACTAATTTATATCGCACAACTTTAGTCGAGCTGTGTTCTCTGAGCTGAGCAGTCTAATCATGAAGCTTAAATGACCTTTTTGTAATATTTTGATGTTTTTGAAATCGATTTGGTGGTTGCTGAAAATGGAGTGATTTATTTGGATTGAATAATTATAGATTTTAACTGTTTATACTCACACGTTATTACGAATGACTTACAACATATCGTGATAATAAATACCAGAAATCTCAAATAGAAACACTAAACTTGTATGCGTATTCTCCTACTCGTCTACCATTTGAGAAAGAAAACGAGAGACCAATATACTGGAAATCAAACATTTAATATCTAACGGATGAGATGGAAATAGTGGTAGCATCGGAATTAATAGTATAATCTCGTGACTGAAGATGAGTGTAAGATATAGACTATTGAAAAGCCATGTATGGGATATAATTTCTGAATAATTCCAATTTGGATGTATATTAAATAGGAAATTGATTCAATACTGTACAACGGATGCAGAGAATTACTTACTGTGATTAGGTTTACAGTAGTGAATGGAGCTGATACTATTATTGTTGCTATTCTTACCATAAAACCTTTTATTCTCCTTACTTAAATTATTTTCCGTTCATTATCTCATAGTCCCTCACGAATGATGATACTAGTTTCTTATTTTAATTTATCTCTTCTTAACTGACTTTTATTAAGCTGTTTGTAAATTTGTGGTCGCTTTAACTGGCGTATTACTGTCCTAGAATTAACGTTGCTTTTTTTCACGCTTTTATTATTAACAATTTTCTCATCGTCGCTAACTGAACTGCCCTCCCTTGGTTTGTTTATTTGCTTATTTACTTCTATGGAAAACAAAACCTCTTTATTATTGGGATGTCTCGAAAATTTTCAGTCTGACCAAATCTGTTTTAATCGGATAGAATATATCAGATCGCTTATCTGACGATCTATACAACTTACTGAATCATGTTTTTTGAGCTACAAATTCTGGAAAAATATTAACTATCATCCAGTATGATTTATAATATATACTTACATGTTTATTGATCTTCGGGTTTATGTTTTGCTTGGAAATTGGTACTTTCTATTTAGAAAACCCATTTTTCTGTCTTTGTGGTACTTCTCTGTGGATTTTAGTCTAAAGATAACCACACAGTCGCGACCAGTTTTATATTTGTCTAATTTGGGCACCATATTTATTATGTTCAGATGTCAATGCTTTGGGTTAGTCGGGAGAAAACTCTGGATTTAGTGGTAATTGACACTTATTGGGAAGGCATACCTGGAATTTTGTGGGAATTGATGATTCATTTGGGATTCAAATCCGTGCTATCAAGTTTTCCAGTCCGAGACGTTACCCCTGAGATATTTGGATTTCAGGAATTTTCTGAGAGATATTCCGTATCACGATGTCCGTTCAAAACATTGTTAATTTCTGTATATTTTCACTAATTTAATTTTTTATCACCTAAACATACTGCAGTGATATCAGAGTTTTAAAAAGTGGAGAACATGATAAAGTTCTCTTTATTTATCACTGCAAACAAACTGTACGCACATATGTGAGAAAGTCTCGATTCCCAAGCCAATGACAGTCATTATTCAGGGATTATATCTGTTACTTGTCAGATGTTTATAATTGTTTATCCTCTACTTATAATTTTAGTTCATCCTGTCACCATGTGGAGTCGTTTAACCAACCCTTTGCCAGCTCCAGATCCTCCAACAAAACTATTTAATACTAAACGTGTTCCATTTCAACATCCTCCTCAGCTTACTCCTACTATTAATGATTATAAATTTCAACAATTCCCAGTGATTGGATCGGGTAATTCTATTAATAACACTCAAGGAATTCCACAAACACTAGTTACAAACCATTTGCCTTATCATATAACATCGAACTCTACGACTATTCCAATCGATTCAATTGTTCATTTGCCTACTGATGCATACCTAAAACAAAATACGAATACTAATGTAGTGGGCTTGGTTACAAATCCTTTACAATATTCAACATTGTGTAATCCTAGTCCTTTAAATGATTTGAATTCTAAACAGTTTTTGCAAAATTTGAATAAAATACAGTTGAGTAGTCAACTTTATTCATCTTTTCCTACTCATATGCATCTGTCTCTACCTCCACCGCTCTTTCCAACTACTCAGTTCTCTCTAGTATCGTCTTCATCATCACCAGCAGTCTCATCGCCCGTCTTCAGCAGTGGAAATCAAATTCATCATTGGCCATACACAAATTTCCTATCAAATTCAAACATTTCCAAATTAACCGGAAATATCCCTGTAGGTTATGATACTACATCATTATTAATGCCTTCTGGAAATCCAATATTAAATAATTCCAACAATAGTAATAATATTCAAAATGGTTTCTTATCATATCCTTTTTTACTTCCTAATTCAACATTTACAAACACAGGACAGCTGAACCTATGTAGTTCAACTCCTTTGCTAGGAGCATGTCCATCATCTTTGCAATCAATGCTTGGCGCATCATACATTCTTGGTGCACAGAATCTTAATAATAATAATACCCAAGGTCACAATCGTAATACTCTTCAAAATTGCATCTGGCTTCCTTAATCTTATTGATAAACCTTTCTAAGTGTATTGTAATTCAGTAGTTAGATAGATATACCCGTCTTTATTTGCGTCGGAGTGCGTATGTGCCTACTAGCCTGTTTTTGTATGCTTATGTGATTAACTGTATTATAAATATTATGATATATATGTCAATAATAGCAATTTTTCCTTCAAATACAAATGAGCATGTAAAGATTTACAAAATAGTTGAGAAATGTATATGCATGACAGGAATATATCTTTGTTCACTTTCTACATATATTTCTCTATTTTGTTTGTATATGTGTATTTTACCTGGTCTTCACTTATACCCTGGTTTATTAATTTACCATGACAGTCGTTTTCTTTCTTTCTTTCTCTTTCTTTCTTTCTTCCTTTCTCTCTCTCTATAATATGTGTATTGGTTTAGCTGTATTTATAAAGAAATAGAGAGCTATTGAAATGCACTTAAACTCGATGATTTTCTTTTGTTGCGCTGTGTTGTATATATATATATTCTTGAGCTGTACAAGGTAGAAATGGTTTAAGTGAAATTATTTACCCGAATTTTTTGTCAAATATTTGGATATTTACCAGTATGATTTCTCGTCAGGGTCGATTAAGCTCATCCGCTTTGAACGTTTAGAACTAATGCTTCTGTAATTCTGTCAGTAATTAAACGATGAAACGATATCCCAAGATACTGGACTCAGAGAGTAGTTATTCGATAACATATATGTATGTGTATTCATTTATTAGGTGAACTTATAAACTAGGAGAAGTGCAATGCTTAATAATATATAGCTCACCATCATTCACGTTATTCCGTAGTATTTCTTACTGGAATATCAAATCTTCATTTCTCACTTGGTTTATTTTATCTACTCATTTAACTTGAATAGACTAATTAGCTTGACGGTTATACGTTTACTATCTGCCAATAAATAACTTACATTGTGGTGTCAATTCACTCAGATTACTGGCCACATTGTAAACTTGGCAAACAGAACTCGGTAATTACTGAAAACCAGACATGATATTGATTGTTAACCAGTGATTGAGCTGTATGAACTACTTACTGTGTATAAATGTATATATCAATAAATGAATTAATTATTTTTGCATTGATGATCAGTTTGAATCAGATCATAGTGGACTTGAACATTGATTATCAACTAACGATTGTAGATAGTTGAATTCACTGTGTTTATATTTATGAATCCAATTATGAGCAGAGCTGAAAAAATATTTGTGTTCGATGTGAAATTGCACACTATTATTTGCATTAAACCATCCAGCTCAGAGAACAAAACACCACCAAAATCATCCACCTGAGCTACAAATCTTCTCCACCATCTCATTAATCAACTAATTGGGATGTGATAACATTAGAAAAGACAGACATAAGTTTATGTGCCAAATAATTTAATGAATACTGAATAATAAATATTCTTACATGACGCCAAATGTCATTATATGTGTCTAGAAAGAATTCGTTGTTTTCAGTTTACAATACTAATGACATTATTCACTCCTGTGTCATCAAAACATTATAGTCACTGATGGATTTCTGATCAAAATAGAATATTTGATTTCATTTAGCTGAGCGTCCACCTAAATCGTCGTCATACTATTTTAAATCTAATGATTATTACTTAAACTACTTGGCAAAGCACTTTGTTTTCAACTATTATCTATATTTAAAGTGCAGCCATTTACTTCAAAATGATTATTGCTTGTAAGTGGATGAACAACAGTATTGATATGAGTAGCAAATCAGAAGTAGCGATTGACCGATCGATGGCAATGAAAAGTGAACTAAAGGTCAAGTGCATTTTGTTGGGGTCAATGAAAATGTGTATGTGGATGTACATACATGGAGAATAGTCTAAAATCCTTTTTGAGAGTTCCGTGTACGGAAATCACTCCACATACACACTGTTGTAATTGATTCTTCTCAATCCCTTCAAATGAACATTCTGTTGATGTTTTGATCCTAGTTGAGATGGTACTATTTATATTTTACTGTAGCTTTTGTTTATCTTATATTTCTACCGAATTTCCACGTTTTTTGAACCGCATATATGTTTGTAGGTATCGATGCCAAGGTCAAACTTGATAGTTTCAAATAAATTGAGCATTGGGTAAGAAGTTAGTAATAAGTACATTTTTTGTTATATCCCAATGAGTAGGAAAGTCATAATTCTGACGTTTCGTGACTTCAGAACAAGACAAACTAAAAGAAAAAGATACTATAATAAGCATCCTACGTTTTAATAATTTTCCTAAGAATATTATTAAAAGCTTATTGAAACAAAACTCCGTCTGTAAATAACAATCCTAATGAAAGATCTTGGATTGGTACTGTGGTTTTACCCTGCCGCCAAGGTACGACAGAAAAATTGCAACGGATATTCAAAACGCACAAAATTAAAGCTTCCTATAAGACAACTAACACTCTAAGAAACACTCTAGTTAGAATTAAAGATAAAATCCCATCCATTTCTACACAAAATTGTGTCTACAGATTGTGATACGTTCTATATTGCAAAATCTTGCCGTGAGATCTCGACTCGGGTTAAGGGACACTTAAGTTACAGAAAAAGACCTAATAATCCTGTAGAATTGGAAAACTTACAGGTTAAATCAACGATATCACTACATGCTATTTTTAATAATCACCAAATTGATATTAAAAATATCGAAATAATTCAGAAAGGCTTTTCCAACTACAAAGAGATGCGAGTAGCCGAAGCGTTTGACATTATGCTAAATCGCTCTGTCCTCAATAGGAAAGAATGCCTTAATATTCATCCAACTTGGACTATTTGTCCAAACAAGCACATCTAATCTTATCCAATTTCTACACAATCTATAGACACACATACACACACACACACACCTAGTTTCAACCTCACTACCTGATTTTACAAATGTATACATTTTTTTTCATATCCACACATAATCATATAAGTAAAAAGAATAGTTTTTTGACAGATTTAAACGGCTGCTGCAGAGTTGATGAAGAATCATCACTGGAAATTCTGTTGAAACAAATCTGAGTATAACAATACTTGCAAATAATAAGTTTTATAAAAGAATCATATTGCAAATAGATTCTTGTGAGGGACAGTGTAACGTTATAAGCTATACTAAGCTCACATAGTTTATTCTAGCTTGTGGACAAGCCAATATCCATTCTTCTTAAACCGTATTTTGACCTTGTCATTTATTGGCCCATTTATTATGACTTTTTAGATTAGTGTGTAGTGACCTACTTTTATCAAGAGAACGCGATTAGTTTAATGGAAACAATTATTATTATAACCAATTATACCGGTGGTTGTTTTACTGTACTTGTTTGTTTAACTGTACTAAAGACATTCTTTCTTCGGTTGATTGTGACCTTGCACGAATTCGGTTACGCTCAGTAACCACACTTGTAACCTGGCAAGATCTCGGTATTCTTTCGATACCACGAAATCGCCAACAAATACATCTCGACTACAGCCATCAACTGCCTTCTGATATTTGGCCAACGGGGGATCTTGTCGGTTAACTGGCACGTATTCTTCCTGTAGTGGTGATCATAGTCAATCGCGACTCGACGCCACACTACAAGTGTGTGTGTGCACAACTTATCCTACTCACCACATGTCTGTAGCTTATTTTCATCTGGTTATAAATATTGATTGACGCTTAATTAAATTGAGTTGGCTTACTTGCCTTCTCCGATCCGCTTCGCTCTTCCCTCTTTGTTTCGTCTCCCTGATTGCTTGTTCAAATCAGTGAGTGAATGAGGTATACATATGCAAAATCCATTCTCATACTTGGCTTATTTAATTCCGTTATACACTAACACGAGTTAAGTCGATGATTATATACGATGATAGACAACATGTGTTTTATTCAATAAAGATTATACATACGATCCAAATGAAGTCAGATATAGACCCACTAAATTCCTTATAAGTGGTATTAGGGGGTAAGTTGCATATAATCCTTTCACTCAGAGCCTTTTCATGTGAGAGTTATACCTGAACTTGAATAATAATATTCATAAGCCGTCACTTACACAGAGTAGGGTATTGATTACATCTTTCAACCTATCTAATTTACGATGTCATACTCTTTCGTCTTCGTTATCACTGAAAGCGGTAAATCCAAAAAGACAAAAGTAATTTACTGGTCCTAAACCAAAGTCTTACCTAGGGACCAACGAACTTGACATGCAAACTGTGGGAAAAATTCCCCACATTAATAGACAATAACATCTCCTCACTTAAGAGCATCCAAACGTGTGATTAAATGGTGTACTCGTAATGCCAGGATTACTATCACCCTTCTATGCAATTATCACTCCGATTCAAAAGATCAAGACAACTTCCATTGGACTATAGACGTGTCAGGCTCACCAGTATCGTAGTTAAAATGCTGGAAACAATAATCAAAAAGGCCTATGTAAACACCGTGAAAACCAAAAACTTGTTTAAAAGGAAAAAACATGGCTCCAGGAAAGGATTATCTTGGATAGTAAACCACTTTATTGCAAGAGGAAGAGACATGGATGAAGTCGTTAGGCAATAGAAGATCACTGAAGGTTTTCTACATTGTCTTTAGCAAAGCGTTTGACAAGGTGTGACACAACAGACTTCGCCTGAAGCTGGAAGTTATAGAGATTGCCAGAGCTCTCCTAAAGTGAAACAAAGATTTATTGTTAGGTCGTTGACAGAAAGTAATAATGAACTCCAAATGTCTTTCATGAAAACCAATAATCAGTGGAGTACAACAAAGCTCTTTTCGAAGTTCTTTACTTTTTATCCAGCGTGTAAATAAACTCCAAAGCATCGTAGAATCTATGATTCCATTTTATGTTGACGACGTCAAAATGTGTCGAGAAATAACAGGGAGTGCAGGTGTATGTTCACTTCAGGTTGACCTGGACGTTTTGATTAGCTAGCCTGGAAGGTGATTGATCACTGTCAACGCAACCAAGTAGGTTTACATGTAAATCAGAGATGCAAAAACAAGAAGCTACATCATTGGGAAAGCGTTGATGCTTGCAGTCATGTCTCACAGTGATCTAGGGGTGACATGAAGCCACTATTTTGGGACCATGGCTCACCATCGTACGTTTTCAGCAAAGGTTTTCAGAGTTGTATGGGCTTTAGTATGGTCATTTACCAAGTTGTATATAAGCATGTTAACCGCAGTGTACACAACGTTAGTGAGATCCAGACATGGAAACCGAGTTCACGCTATAAACCCCTGATTAACACATGACTCGGCTATCATGCAAATGTACAAAATACAATTAAATATGGGGTTCCAGAATTCGGAGGTTTACCATGAACAGAGCAACTTGAAAAGTTAGACCTCTTTACTCTGTCCAACAGTAGAATAAGAGGTGATCTGATTTTGAAGTACAGAACACTAAAAAATGAATTCCGAATCGATGTATCCTTCATTT